ACAGAAATTGTAGATCTCGTCGTCCTCTACAAAATGAGCCTAAATACGTCCCGCTAAGTCCATCCGTTCGGAAGTTATGGGCAAAAAACGAAAATTTCGCAAAATTTGAAGGGGTACCCCTTGGAAAAATCTCGGAAAAATCGAAAATTTTTTTTTCCTCAAAATATCGAAAAATACTTTAAATAAAAGTTGTAGATACTGCTATTACGTGAAAAAAAGATAGTATACAAGTTTCTTGTATCTCAAACACTTCAGGACTGATCGATTAATTAGTTCGTTCATCGTCAATTAGGACTTTTCTTGTACTCTTGACTTTCCGATGGCAATGTATTGCAAATATCGTTAAAAATCGCCAATTTTTTCGTGCGATTCAAAGTTCCATAAAGCTGCCACTGTTCAGTAATTTCTCCCCGGTGTTAAAATGTTACCCAGAGGCGTAGCCGAGGTTCGAGAGGCGAGGAGCGATAGACACGAGCGCGTAATTGTAGGCGCGGCGAAGATGCCTCGACCGTGCCTTTTCCATTTGTCGAGGCAGCGAGCGTCGAAGCATCTTATACCGTTCGTCCTCGTGGGCATTCCAACCGGGAATTCTCCTCGGCCAAGTCGTGCCTGCGGTAGAAACACGCGTCGTGGCCTGCCGCTCGCCGGTACTTTCGAGTGCTCGTAAAACCCGCCGTTTTCTCGCTCCGCGCTGCTTTTCGAGTGCCGCCGAATTTTCTTCCTCAGTCAGGGAGGGCCATCATCGAATAGGAAAGTGCCGTGACTACTTGACCCCGGGTCCTACGCTCGAAACCGGGTAAGTTGCGAGACCGCTCGAGAGCACCCGCCGTTTCTACCGTTGATTCATTGCCTTTTTCCCCTCGACACTGTCATTTCACCGCCGAAAAAGCATTTCGCGAATAATACCTGAGTTCCGACACTCGCGTTTCCTTCTCAGCCTAATCAATATTGTGATTATGAAATTAAGCAAGTGCGAACGACGTGATAGAAAACTGAACGCATTTAGCAGAGCGATAAGAGATAAAAATAGACAGGTTGAACGATCAGCGTAGAATTTTTTCCAATCCCTTTTCGCGTTTATAGAAACGATCGTAGCCTATCTAATTAACGGTTATCTCTCGAAAGTGGAGTGAGAGTAGCTCATTAGCATGTTTTCGAAATTCGTCTCTTGTGTTCATAAAATTGTACGCCGTGAGGATTGTGAGAACCGATCGGTGCAATCCTAGAAACGGTGTTCTTCCATCGACACGGTTCGCCAGTAACGATAATCGACGTCTTGAAAGCGGAAGCAATGATCCTCGCTTAACAGCTAATCGAGACAAAGGAATTGTTCGTTTCTTACGAGTTCCCTTCGTGAGAACGCAAGACTTCGAGCGAGCTGGTCAGCGTCTTCGGACTTGGCGACCAATTTTATCGACACGGGAGAAACTACAATGGCACAGTAATTCTTTCGCATTCCAGGACGAGCTCGTTCTCTGCTTTCCAGTTAAAGCCAGCGGCAGGAAAAGTGCTCGGTTTAAACTTTCTAAGCGGGTATCATGGCCTGCGGTCGCTAACGTACGAATGTGATACCTGGCCATGTGAGCGCAGGGCGCGAAACCATAAATCAGTATATCGTAATCGCGACGAAAAGGCTTGCGTAACGCCGGCCAAATCCACTCCTACGTCGAAGTGAGAAATTCCTCATATATAATTACAAACCGGAATGTTATTATTTAAAAAAAATAGAAATCATTTTCAAGAGATGACGTTTTATTTGAATAACAACGGGGAAGTTTGAGGAGGAGCGCACATGCTTTCACGGTTGCGAGACGTGAGGAAAACCGAGGCGCAAACATTTGCGACAATTATTGTACAAATAATGATCGAGCCGCGTTTCGCCGTTCGCGAATGTTTATCTTTTCCACACGGTCACTCGCGGTCAGTCCGGAGTACCGTTGCGCGTTTACCCGTACTGCTGACTGTATCCACATCGGTGACCGCGGCTTACACTTAAGCGTTCGAAATGCCAGGTGAATAATTCTTGCCGTTTCACAAGGGAAAACAGAGAGCCGTTAAAAAGCGCGCGACCTTCCGACGAAGACGGGCCCAGTTCATAGCGGTAACCGCCTACATAAAAATAGCGGTATGCACGCAAAGAGAAACGAGGAAAAAAAAGAAAAAAAATAAATGTTCGTTTGAATGTTCGAGCGTGCTCGGCGAGCGTCACGGAATTACGGGCATCGACGTCTGTCTTAAACTTTCGAATACGATACCCGTGCAACTAAACGCGGTTTTACTGCACGACTCGAGAGTTCTTATTAATCTAACAGACGCTCAGATATTTCGTGCGATGAGTTATACCGCGGCCGGTGCAAATCCGAATTAAAATGATTTTGCGGCCGCCGTCTGTATACACGGTATTGGCAAACAGTCCCTGAGAACTCGGAAATGTTGAATTCCCTCGTTATTTAATTCTTACGCGATACGTCGATTGCCCTTTACATTTATTGCGATTCTAATCTTTTATCAGGTGGATACAACTATAACTTTCTCTTGTATATTAAAAGGTTTCCAATTAAATAAATAAAATAAATTGATTTAATTTTGAGTTATTTTATACACGTCGACGCGGGCGCAAGGGTCGTGGGATTTTCGGGTAAGATTCTGGATCAGAACAGGCTGGAAGCTCTAATCAATATTTCCACATTCCCACCGAAATTAGCACGAACGAATAAACTCCCGCAATTCGATAATGCGACCGCGAAACGTGACTCGGCCGCGCATACCGCGGATGCGAAAGGAGGCCCAGGACCCATTCTGACCGATGCCCGCTTGGGAACGGTATGCACACACGCCGCTCGGCCTCTACACGCGCACGTGAACATGTAATCCGTGTAACTTCCAGCATTCCACCTGGTGCACGCCTAGCGACGACGTCGTTGCGTCACAGATTAATAGACACGACGTACGCGTGTATCTGCTTATTACCGTGTCACGATCATGCCGCCTGCGCGAATTGATGAACAATCTCATGTCGTGGGCAAACAAATTCTTAAGATAGTTATCACCTAAATGGACATTATTCGAGATAATCGCAAAACTTTCTACAAAATTAATTAAGCACCTGATAATATTTTATATGAATGATATCTGATGATATATAATCTATGATATNTAGTAACGCGTAGTAAAAAAAAACATATTATAAATCATTGGTACACGGGTAGAAAATGCGTAAGAATTTTGCGTCTAATGACGTGAGTCATTGAATATTGAATTTATTTGCTCTCAAGGAAACTTTAAACGATCGGAGCCAACGAGATGGAGCGTAATAAAGGAATTTTTATTATAAATCTCGGGAAAAGTGGAATTTCGTTTTCCTTGAACGGGGAAAGTCTTATCGAGCGAACCAGTTTGCAAATAAATATGAAACGCAGGTTCACCTCGTTCCGCTTGGATGTATCAAAACTAACGATGATCGCGTTTATCACTGCGGTACGCAGGCGTACGGTGTAATTTCGCGGGGACGCGGATAAAGTAAACGAGCCGAACAATTTAGTTAATGATCCTCTCTTGTCACGATACTCGTACACGCATTTTCACAGTGAATTCTTTCTAATTGCGCATTAAACTTCGCTTTCTCTGTTAAATCGACGATACCACAGGTGCTAATTGCTCGGAGTTCGAACCAGTTTGAAAAAAAAAAAAAAGGTAATCTGTTCTGTGATAATGAAAAGTCGAGTTGAAAAAAAGGAATTAACAGTTGTGGTCGGATTCTGATTGGAAAACGGTATTGGCGAGATAACAAGTCGCGATTTCGTGGCACCTGTCTACCGGCTCGGTTTCTTCCCGTACCTACCTGCATTCCAGAGAAAGTTAACCGTGATGATTTGGCACGCAACACCGTGAAGCGTGCACAGACGCTCGTGCGTATACCTGCATGATTCCATCGCGTTGCTGCTACTCCTCCTGTGAACGTGCGCGATTACACGCGTACACGCTTTCAAATGGTTACGTGTGTGCGAAGGAGTTATTTCAGTAGCACGTAAGATGAATATTTTTCATAACGCACGGCCAAGGCGTTCGTAATAGAGGATTCGTTTGCAAACGTGGAATGCGCATTTTCCGCGCTGTTCCCTGCGATAAACCGAGTATATTTCAGCCGAAGCTACTGTATCAGTCGAAGAGACTGGCTCGTGTTTTCGCAACGGGAACGTTGATACATATTAATTTCGACGCTCGAATGACGAAAACGTAATTTGTCACGGCGGATTTTCGTCAAATCATTTTCACCACCGGGAATCTCGTATTCCGTTTGAAATCGGACCTTCCGGCATCGACTGGCTCTAATTTTCGACGACGCGAAATGCCAGGCTAGTGTTTTACTCGCACAGTTGCCAACGGGGACTCGAGACCTTACAGAGAGGATCGCACGTTAATTTTCGCAAACGGGCAACCGCTATGAAAGTCGATCCGTTCGGCTCGATCGATGTCGTAAATTACCCCGCGAATTACTCATGGTTTCCAGTGTGGAATTACAATCATCGTCGCTTGTGGAGATGCAGTCCCATTTGTAATTGAATCTGCGACGGTAGACGTAACATTGAATTTGTACTTGAGTAATTTCTCAGCAGGAAGCTACAAACGAGTATATCATTCAGTGCGTAACTCAATTTCACAGAAGAAATTGACTCGGACTATTTCGGATTTCACCGTTTTACCAAATCGTACGAATTCGACTAAAAAGTCTTGCAAGGATTTTGTAAATTCGTGGCAGCGAGGATCGCAAGCGATTTCAGAGAAACAGAAGCGGGTTCGAAGCCACGCCTCGACGATCGCGAACGGAGATACCTAGATTTTAGAAAGGCGAGTTACTCCGCAAGACAAAAACCTTTCCATCGCCGTTCACTTTTCGCGGGAAAAACGGAACCCCTCGATGCGTTTCGCGTTGCCGACGTTACGAGCTATTGATTCGTTGCGATTTATCGCGTTGTGTCTCAGCCAGGCAGCATCCTCTCAAGAATTTCCCGCGTGAAAACACCGGTACATTTACTTTTAGAAATCGCCCGTATCGATAAACGCTTCTCTGGTGAGAATTCATTCTTAAAGCTGCAAAATCTTATCATGTATTTTACATTTCCTATATAATTTTATTTATCTATTATTATCTATAAATCTCTATTTCGTTCCAATTACGTCATCGCTGATTCGTTCTCTATACTGTGCCTTATAGCATCATTATTAATTGATCGGCTGTCAACGGCATTCGTGCACAGAATTATGCACTACGCTAGATTTATAAGGGTTGCATGGCATACAGAATAGTCGTACAAATATTATAATATCATCAAAGTAGATTGATAGTAATTTATAAACTCTTCTTGAATCAGTCTAAAATGTCGAACTAAATTAATTATCAGAAGACTGCTTGGTTTAAATTACTTTTAACCCAAATGGCTGAATTTTTATTATTTCCAAAAAAAGAAAAACGTAAATGAGAGGAGTGCACGAATAGCAGAACGTTAATAAATAATATTAGTAAGTTTCTCTTGACACTCAGAACGAGAAGTATCTTTACTACTTATCTGCTGCTCGATGTAAAAATGCTTTCACTGCACTTAATTTAGTGCAGTGGAACTAAGATGTGACCCGAGGAGAGAGCGTCTTATTGGTACTTTACCCGTGTGCGGTACTGTTTGCTGCTCTCCCGGACGTAAAGTGCATCTCTTTGAGTGCAATCGAGTATTTCCTTAAAGTAACCGGTTGATTCGGGTGCCGTGGGTGGAACCGCACTGCGCCGGTGATACAGAGAGAGAGAGAGAGGGATGGATGGATGGTCGCAATGTAATTTTGAGGGATGCGCTTGTCGTTAAATCACGTATCCGCGGTAATAGTTAACGGTATCTTTCGAGTCAGGGCGGGTGGAGATGTATGAGTATGCGAAACTCGGACGAACGAAATTTAACGGCGAGCCGCCGCAGTGTGGTGCTGGTAACTGCTGTGATGAGAAGCTATTCCGGCGCATTGCGGAAGCGGAAGGAACGGTCCCGTATGAAGCTGCGGCCTCGAATTGCGCCCGTAATTGAGATGTAACTTCTGCTTTACAGATTGAATATTGCCCGGCGGGATGGACGCGGAGACCGGGGCCATTTTGGCCCTACAAATATTGGCTCTGTGTTCGATAGTGGCCGCCCTATTGGCCTACCTAATGCGGCAATCGAGGAATGCCACCGACGAGTACGAGACCCGCAACAAACGCCACGTACTCGTGACCAGCTGCGATACCAGCGTAGGCCTGCAGATCGCTGTTGCGCTTTACGAGGCTGGATACAAGGTAGTAACGGCCTTCCGTCCCACCTGAATCACGTCTAATTATGTAATCGTTTTAACACGCTCAAAACATGGATCGCGCGTCCTTCGCAGAAGTAGCGTACAGGCGTTCTCATAAATATTTCGATCATTGAGAGTTCCGCTGAGAATCGTAACCGCTTATTTTTCTTTCGTCAGAAACATCGTAGTAATTAAATGTGATTAATTACTTAGGTGTTCGCCGGTTTGCTGGACCCGTGCGGTATGTCGCCGTCGATGAAAATTCTCAGGGCGATAGAGCAACAGAGGGAGAAGGAGGAGGACGGGCCGGTGGACGCGAGTTACGGTAACCCGCAAGACCCGGAAGTACGTGCTCACCGCCAAATCGTGCCACTGGAGCTGGACTCGACGAGGGAGGACAGTTTACGCGCTTGTTTGGACGCAGTTAGAGCGAAACTTCCGGCTGGCGAAGACGGCAAGCAATCGTCGATTTAATGCGGCCCCGAACACAGCCAAGATTGAACACGCCCCGGTGCCCCGTTGTTCCGGTCCCGTTGATCCCGCGCCGGTTACAAATCCCAATTCCCCAGCGGTTCAAGATCCCCGGGACACGAGTCGGCTGACGAAAAACTTTCGCGTTGTCTAAAGGAAATGTTAATTTAGTTTCGCACCGGTTCGAGCTTCAAGAAACTTTTCACCCTCCGGCCAATGAATGGCAGCTATTCATTTCCTCGTCATATTATTTCTGCCTTCGAATTACCACCGTTTTTCCTCGGCCTCGATTATTATTAAAAACCTTTTTAAACAGTTGAAATTCTTCGTTAAAGTATCCGCGCGTCCTCCGTCTTTCTTGTGTAAAACTGACCGCTTAAGGTGTACCAAACTTTGAACTTGACTCAATTACACAGGTCTCTGGGCAGTTGTACACACCGGCGGCTTGGCTCTTCCGGGTGTTATAGAGAGGCAGCCGAGTTCAGCGTGGGAATCCATGCTGCGACACAATTTAGTCGCACCGCTGAGAACCGCGAGGATGTTCATTCCTCTTTTACGTGTAAAAAGAGGTTCGTTCTCATACCGAAATATTACTACTACTACTACTACTAATAATAATAATAAGAAGAAGAAAAGAATGACAAGAGACACGCGAGACTGTGTGGAGCTAATATCCTCCGATGCATGAAGACTGATTTCCTTTATAGGACGAATCATTCTTTTGGGCGACTCGACGACCAGCTACGGTACCAAAGCGGGAACAGGGCTGGTAGCATTCAGTGCCTCTAAAAAAGCCGTGGAAGGAGCCGCGGATGCTTTAAAGAGCGAACTACAATCCTCTGGGGTCGACGTCGTTCTTCTAAAACCGCCGCCCGTGAATCCTCTCATTCTTTACAGTTCACCCGTACTGAAAACGTAAGAATCTTCTTCTATACAGATTTTCCATAAAGAGGAGAAATAGAATTCGACGGAACGTCTTTTTAGGTCTGACGTAGAATCGGGAATAGTTTCATCCGAGGGGACGTGGACAGCGCCTGTGTCGACCCAGGCTATTCAGAACTCGTTGATGCCGGCGCTAACATCACCCTGTCCACGGATGTCTTACGAGATGGTCGCGAGATCGAGACTCTTTTGCAAATAATAATTGATTGACGGCGATGCTTTGTAAAATTAATCTATCAATTAATTGTAAATGCGCCAGAGGCTTAGAGTTTTAAGAACCCTGTACAGTTTTGTAATTAATACGGTGTTAACAAAAATTTTCATTCTATTGACAACGGCGTTCGTTTCTTTGGTTAATTGAACGACTGAGGGACGGGTTGAGTGTTTGGGAACGTATTGCGACGGCCGTGGCGAATTATACTGTTTTAGTTTCCATTACATAGTTGGTAATTACGAGGAACTATGTATACAATTAATTCCGGCGACGATAGCATCCATCGCGAGTTTCACGGGTAATTCACAGACGGGCGAATGAATTGCGAATTCGCCCGTAACTCACGCACAATTCAAACAGCGCAACAACTTTGAAGTCGTATAAACGATAAATATCACATATTCGTTACCCATATCGTTGAAATTCCACTAAATTTCATTTGGCAATTTGCAGCCTGCCACGGGCTAATGGCGGCCTCCTGCCCTGGCCCGTTCGTTTATTTATTCGCATGCGAGTTCGTAATTCCCGTACGCGAATTGATAATTATGTAACTGTCGGCCGAAAAATCGGCTTATTTATTCGTCGTTACGTGGGTGGGGAGATTCGTAAGAACCGCGATTAAATCAAACTGTGGCCGAGTGCCACGGCGATGGGACACGCGCGTCTCTTAAAATATGCCACAGCTGGCTGCAAAACGGTATTCTAATTAATCATCGGACCGTGCATAATCTTTTTCCGATACTTTCGCCGGGAACAAGAAGGAAACCGGAAGATACTCAATCGGAAAAACGTATCTTAAAACGTTTACGCAACCGGTCAGCTTGCTTACAGATTTATTTACAAACCGATACGTCGCGTTACGATTTCCAATTAGCCATTAGCGGCGTGTACGTCGATGATGATCATTCAATCGACGAGACGGAGAGTAAGTGAGGGTGTGTGACTTGGCGTCGAATCGATAGATTACAACTCGGCCAGGGATGAATGTATCATGCGAGCGAGCGGTACGCGGAAATGCAATAAATTCAACAATAAACTGTATTGCTACGCTGGGACGCGATGTGCGGCTATTCAGGCGACATATTGACACTCGTTCGCTCCATCGTCGAAACCGTACAATTTATTGCTCATTAATCTCCTCCGTCCAATTTACATAGCCGATCGAATATATGACGAAGCCGGTTTCTTTAATGGAAACTAAACTCCAGGAATAATTGTGGCCCTATCATTTCGGAATGACTGCGTACGCCATCGATAACGCTTTAATTGCCCGGCTTGGCGTCGGAATTAAAATCTCCTCCCGCGTTCCCCGATGAATCACCGCGGACAGATTTTTAAGCAGGAAGCTAGAGTTTCATGGATCGGCAGATATATTTTGCAACGCGCTTTTACGTCGTCGTGCCACAATGCCGACGTCGATCCGTGCCTAGCTGGCACCATTATGGGGACTTGGGAAAAAGTTTCGGTTCACCGGACAGCTCCTCTCACTCTATTGGGCCCGGCGACAAATTAATGACTTGACAAACCGTTTCTTTCGGGGACGGACTCGGGTATATAAAATAGGATTCTCGCGATTCGGTAAACAGTTGCCTGGATGGTTCTTCGAAGGAGGAAACATGGCGTTGATTCAGGTAGGGATACGTATCGGGCGGTGGAAATCAATAGAGGCGCGCGCGTTTTACCGATAGTAGACGCTGGATTATTGTGAAAAATGACGTTGCGACCGTCGAAACGTTTGATCGATAGAGATTCGAAGCAATTAAGCAAAGATTACAACGCGGTGAATTCAGAAACTCGTCCGGACGATGCGATGTAATGCCATCGATCGTTCCAATTTCGAATCTCGCCGATGTTATTGGTCGAGTAGACAGACAGAGGCGAAGAGAGAGAGAGAGAAGGAGAGAGGGGACGCGGCCACTTTTCCGTAAAACGGATCACGGTACCCGCGAAAGCGAAGTATTACAAAGTCGTGACCGCAAAGTAAGAGCGACATGTTCCAGAGGTCTTTATGCGGCTGGCAAAAGCGCCTCGGTTCCGCTCGCCGTTACGACGACAAAGAATAATGATCCTCTTTTTGCAATTTTGCCGGGCCGACCTTTCGCATGATTAAAATAAATTTCTATCGCCGGGCCCCCTTTCACCGTTCTCTGTCCACGATTAATTCTCGCGATATTTTAACCGCTCCTTTCCATTCAGCACTCCGCACGAAATTCTCTCCCTTTTCGTTCCGTGCTTTCAGAATTTCACCGTTTTCGCTCTGGTCGCGATCGCTTTCACAGCTGCCCGCCCGAAGCCCAGCCACGAAGGTACGAAAGAGTTAAATCGCAGCGATCAAAGACAATTAAAATTAATACTGTCCATTATACAGGGTGCCTCTTTCTAAACAACAGCTTCCTTTGACAAAATGCATGGTTTTTGTTAGTAATTTAAAAATACCGTGCATTTTGCCAAAGGAAACTGTTGTTCGAAACCACCTACATGATCACCCCTTTTCGACTGTGACACTTCTTCTGAGACACCCTGTATCGTTTTTTGATCGCGTTTAATTGCAACGCGGTATCGGAGAGAACTGATCTTAGGTCACGGACACGCGCACTCGTTCCATCATTTCCACGGACCGGTGGAGGGCCATCATCAAGAGATCACATGGAAGGACAAGCACGGTCACCACCACCACGACTACGTGGCCCACCCTAAGTACAAATTCGCCTACGGCGTGGACGACAAGCACACGAAGGACTACCACGGGCAGAAAGAACATCGTGACGGTGCGTATCGAACCGGGACTGCGCAGGGACTTGATTACTCTTAACGAGAATTTTGAACTAATTGGACGATCGTCCTTGCTCTTAATTAGATCTAGTGGCTAGACGAGGATCTTCTTTTTCTCTATACGTATCGCGGTACGTCTCTGTCCACTCGTGCATGTTTGATTAACGAGGACGCGTGAAATTTCAGGGAAAGAAGTCGAAGGGGAGTACCATCTCCACGAGCCCGGTGGCAACTTCAGAAGCGTGAAGTATCATTCGCATCCCCACGGCGGGTTCTTCGCCGAAGTTCATAATTACGGTGGGAACGATCACTCGAAGCATAGATAATAAGCCGAACATCGTTACCGCTCCTCTCGCTCCACGATACATAATCATTATTATTATTATTATTATTACTATTATTATTATTATTATTATTATTATTATTATTATTATTATTATTATTATTTTACTTATGTTCACCCTTTGTTGTCGCATGAAATAAATTGATTGGATAATCGAACTGGAAGTTATATCGATACACACACGCGATAAATTGTCGAATATTATTAACGTCCCGAGCAATTTGCATCGGGCAGTAAGTAATTGTATTGTGCATGCGCTTCGGCAACTTGTAGTAAGTTCCTCTGGTGATATTGAGTGGATGCGGTTCGTTGTTAAAACGCAAACACCAACTTCTTGTTGGCACGAGGGGGCTGCCTTTGGAAGCTGAGACAATGGAGTTTCTGCGGCATCGTTTCTGCAGTTGTAACTATCGACGGTAACGTTCTTTCGGGACAATGACACGATTTCCAATCGAATTTAGGTCAGCTGGTTTATCATTCGAACGATGTATGAATAATTGATTAAATAATTTCTGTTAACATGTTTAATTTTGTTAGTTTCTCGTTCGCATTGTCGAGTTAATTAAACTCCAACGAAAGCTGCAGGTTTGATGCTTAAATTTCAATGAGAATCTCGTTTCTGCAACAATGTAAACTCGACTTCTGTATGTACGACGTATCATTTTCAAAATTAATTAGTAAATTTATTTCGACTGTGAAAAATTCGGTTTTAATTTCAATAGACGAAATTGCATAATGCATCACGAATATATTTTATGAATTCGTTTAACGTTAGACGTTCCACGTAGTGTATTCGTCTAACTTCAATTCTACCGTATTTCCTTATATAAAATCCATATAAATATTCGAGTATAGTAGCTACCCGCTAAAAGCAGCTCCCGTACTCGTCCCGGCTGCATGATCACGCACAAATGACGTATATCCCGTTTCGTGTACGAATGCGCGTTGCAGCCGTGCTGTTCGGATCGATACAAGTCGTTACCGAAGTAAACGGATGGATTACGAGAGCTGAGACCATCTACGCTTGGACTCGATTCCGAGTCGTTGCCTACCCCCGTTCTCAGTCACGAGGCTGAGAAGCAAGACACGTCTGTTATAACCGTACGTTTTGTACAGTTAAGCATGGTTGCATAAAGTAATGTAGTTCTATGTGTGTATGTTCCTGAGTATACCTGAAGTATAATAGAAATTAGGGAGTAGCGCAGGCACGTGCCTGTGCCCATCATGACAATTGCCATGGGTTCACCATCCGCTGAATTCCGTCCAAAACGTACGGAATTTTATGCAAAATAAAATATGATACTAATTTTAAAAATAAATTTTACGTATTAAGTTTTTTTTAAGTATCACAATTTTGGACTCTGCTTATAACGTTTTATATATTTTCGTACATTAAGTGCAATTTTTAGGTATTACGTATATTGAATTTTTGTTATAAATGAATGAAATCAGCAGTCTAGCAATAATTATCGTAGTTAAAAGGACGAAATAGAAAAGATAGAGTAGCTAAATTGTTGTACACGCGATAACCTAATAGAATCAAGTTACATCTCTGCTCGAACTTGATTCGGAGTTGTTCCCCACTCCCGTCTGAGGCCGAGAAGCGAGTTGAGACGATGTTCAGATTCACTAACCATGATGTTTCACGGTGATTAATCATGATCACGACTCGTGATTATAGTCAATCATGGTATGTGATGACGATTTTGTACAATGAGTAGATTTGCTATCACCTTATTAATATCTGATAAAGTAAATAGCTTTTGATTTCTAAAATATAATTTTTACAAATCTACTATTTAGTTTGAAAGATAAAATTATTCAACTTATATAGCCTCTCCTTCCTCCCTTGCGAGATGAAGAAGTTAACTTCAACTCAGGTTCCATCGGTGGAACAAACCTCTCAACTTTTGTGAGTGTAACTTATTTCATTAAGAATATATTTATAACTATTGAGAGCTTCAACGGAATATCATGCAAGGTTTAATTTTTCATCGAACCAAACATTCCATCTCGGTTATTAACAATAATTCCATTTCGTTACACTGACCTATATTTATTTCAAACGAGATTTTTCATTCGAACGGAGAAGCGAGCGAGCCTTTCGACGAATACCGTTTTTAACAATTTTAAACTCGATTAAACGTTTATTCAGGACTGGAGTTACAGCTGCTTGTACGGACGACCTGGAATGGTTTATAGGAGTAGGAAACGTTTAAAGAATTCTTGGAGAGGAGAACGTTTGTTTCCGGTAGCGTTCGACTGGACGCAAGTTGCATGAAAGCATTACGGGTCACGCACAGCTAGTATTCACTAATTAAAAAATACCATAGGAATTGTATGAAACAGAACGGAACGCGCGTAACGAAGTTCCGTCGGGATAAAAATAATATTTTTCGTTCTCCTCGCGTTTCAAGCTCCCGTCGATTCTTAAACAACGTTAAAAGAACGACGCAAAAAGATAAATATATATGTACATTGTGTGTACGTGTAATCAATAATTTTCTGTTTGATTTACTACAAAAGTGAATATCGTTTTTAATGCGGCAACGAGGAGGGGAAAAACTCTTCCTGTCAGGATCAGCAGAGCGTAATCGATGGCTGTTTTATCCGCACCTTTTAAAATTCATATGCGTGGGATCGTTGTCGCAATGCAAAACCATCAAAGAAATGTCTGCTGTGTTTGCCACACAGAGAATCGACCTCATTACTCTTTTTCCCCAAATCGACGCATTCCTTCGACGTAACGAAGTCCTGTTTAAAAATCCACGGTATATAAATAGTCGCGAGTCCTACTAGTTGTCACTCGAGATCTTGTCTAAGATGGTAACCAAGGTACACATACATAAATTCTACAGTCAATCACACTGGATATTTGGTAAAAGTAGTGATCCTCCAGGGAGTCAATTTTATAATGTCATATTATTTTTTACAATTATTTATTCCACGAGTTTTCAATAATGATCGAATCCTGACGTTAAGTAGTATATTTGCACTTTCGCTTTGTTCCTATTTAGACGCACTTTTTAATCAGAAATCGTCGCTTAGATGTTCGGTCACTCCCTGGAGGGTCAGTAGGTAAAAGTAAAAATGTTCGTGAAACAGCGAACGTCATCGCGGTTTATCCTATTCTATTGTTCCATTTCCAACATTGTATATACAAATGTAATACGTTCGTTCGCAGTTCGCTTTAATTTCGGCGATGATGGCCGTCGCCGCGGTGCGGAGCGCGTTAGCAGGACACGCTCATAGTTTCGCGCACTATCACGGTCCGGTGGAGGGACCGGCGCAAGAAGTCTCTTTTCATGGTAAACACGGATATCATCACATTGGATACGTGGCTTATCCGAAGTACGAATTTTCGTACGGCGTCGACGACCACCACACCGGCGACCATCATAGCCAGAAAGAGCACAGAGATGGTAAGTAGATTGCGGGATTTAAACTTATGCATACATTTTCTTAAACCCCGGCTTTTGTAATAATAAGAGCGACCATTTGTTAGTTTATATAGTACGAGGGTATTCTGGCAGTCGTTTGTTTAAGGTATAATTAACCATAATTCAGAAGTTATTCACTTTAAGATTGCACGAGTCTTCAAATAAAA